GCAATTAAAAAATAAATGAATGGGCTATGCTGGGCTGGTAAGAGGTAGCCAATGTCATATACAAGATTTCTGGCTGGAGTGGCCTGGTTGGGGAGCTAAGGAGACTCCTCAGCTGGGTTGTGGTTCTCTCTGATGAGCATGGGAGCCAGAATGGGGGAAGCGAACCAGTCTGAATATTACTGCAGTGTCCCTTGGCATGGGTGTGTACTGGGTCTGGGCTGTGCAAGACTGGGCTAGCACCCACTGGTGCTCACAAGAACCAGGGTGGATGTAGGACAGGCTGGGCTAGGTCTCTGCACCTGCTGAACCACACAAGAGCTGGGTCTGGGGGTGGACCAGGCCTGGCTGGGCTGCAGCACCCAATAGTAAGAGCTGGAATGGGTGTGGGTCAGTTGGACAAGGTCACTGTTCCTGGCAGGACAGGATGTGGGCCAAGGGACCCACTGCTATGTGTGACATCTGAGTGGGAAGTGACCTGATAGAGGAGCTTTGGGAACTTTTCTGTCAGGATGTAGTCCTTGTAGGTGAGCACAAGAATCAGGGCTAGGAGCAGCCCAGTCCAGGCCAGGTTACATTATCTGCCACCTTATATGTGAGTCAGGTCTGGAGCAGGCCAGGCTGTGCCAGTTCATAGCATCCACTGGCAGATGTGAGAACTAGGTTGGGGTGCAGGACAAGCAGGGTTGGGCAGCAATACCAGCCAGTTCACATTAGGGCTGTGTGAGGCCGTAGACCCACCAGTATGAGCTGGAACTGGGGGCAGGCCAGGCCAGGCTATTACACCCACTGGCAAATGCTGAGGTGAGGCAGATCATGCCAGACCGGGCTGCGGTATCCACCAGCACATGTAATACTTGGGGGGTGAGCCCAGTAGGGGGGCAGCAGGGGATCCCCTGCTGGGCCACAACATCCCTTGGCTTGTATGTGAGCTGGGTTAGGGAGAGAGCCAGGCTGGGCTAAGCGGCTATATCCAATGGTACATACATGAGCCAGAGTAAGTGCAGGCTGGTCAGGCTTGGCTGCAGCATCAGCTGGCAAGTGAAGCGACTGGGGGCAAGTCCTGCCTAGCTAGACTGCAGAAACACCTGCAAAACGCAAGAGCCAGGGCTGGGAGTACGCCTAGTAGGTATGTTGTGGGCACCCCTATGATGAACTACAGTTCCCACTGGTGAGCATGAGAACCAGGGTTGGGAGTGGACCTGGCTGGTCAGGCAGGAGCACCCACCAGCATTAAGTGTGGGCTGGATAATGGGTCAGCTGGGCTTAGCTAGGTTGCAGCACCCACTGGTGTGTACAAAAGCCGAATGGGATGTGGGACAGGCTGGATTAGTGTGCTGCATATATCGGCATGCCCAGGAACTAGGATTACTGGGGGTTGCTCTGACTGGGTTGCAGTTTCCACTGGTGTGCCTGAGGGCTGAGTGTGAGGTGGGCAGGGTTGGGCTGGGCTGCAGCACCCACTGGTACGCATAATAATGGGGCTGGAGACAGAACTGACCCAACAACTGCAACCACCAGTATGAGTGTAGGCTGATATGGGTGATGGACTGAGCTGGACCCCACACTGGCTGGCACACACAGGAGTCAGGTCGGGGGTCACTCCTGGTGAGATTTCTTTGGGGACTTCCGAACTGAGCTGCTGGATTCAGAACTTCAACCACAGTGAAAAATCACAGGCTCTGTGGTCTGACCATGGAGTGCATGTGTCAGAACTGGGCCTCATTGGTTGCTGAAGCCTGTGCAGCAGATGGCATGCCCAGATGTACATGGGGGACATGACAGAACAGTGAGGCCTACGGAGGACATCTAGTACTATAGCAGAGGATGGAGGGCAGAACAAATTGGACAGTTCTCCCAGCCAAGCTTTGACAGAGTGCAGACTAAGGTGGACTGTATCAGCCAATGGACCTTGGAGCAATGAAATCAATAGCATCTCAGAATATCAAAACTATTTAGCAGGGCCTGGTGTGATAGCCTGGTGGCTGAATCCTCGCCTTGTACCTGCCAGGATATCACAAGGGCTGCTGGTTCATGTCCTGGCTGCTCCACTTCCCATTCAGGTCTCTGCTTATGGCCTGGGAAGTCAGGATGTTCCAATGCCTTGAAAACAAAGATAAAATAACATAATAAAATAAGAGCACTTGAGCAGAACCCTTTGAACATGCTCCACACCAGGGACCCTGAGATGACACCAAGTGGCCATACCCTATCCCCAGGCACTGATGCAGCTGGGCTTCCGTGAGTGGCCCTCTCCCCCTCTCTCCCCACTTTTCCCAGATACAGGAAGAAAAAAGGAGTTTGCAAACAGTTGTCTCATCCACTTTCCCTACTTCCTCAACTCTGTCCACCCTAATTAGTGATCCACATGGGTATACATCCTTCTGAACTATGTAAACACCATAAAAAATAAAATAAATTCATTACCAAAAATAAGGCAATTTATGAAAGTCATATCAATGCCATGACACGGACAAGGAGCGGCCCATGGACCACCCTGAGGGGGTGATGCCAGGTCCCGGTGCTCGCAGTGTCCAGGGAGTCGGAGCTCTCGGCGGTGGAGACCCTGAAAGAGGTCCCAAGCCAGACACGCCCACCCCCTGCGACAGGGTTGAGGGGGAGAGATTGAGGGGGAGGCGGTGTCCTGGAGAGCCCCGAGAGTCCCTGGAGGTGAAGGCAGGACCTCAGTTGTGATGCCCAAGGGAGATGCAGAGGTGAAGAGACGCCATCCATGCAGAAGGTGGGGGCACAGGCATTGGCAGGGGGAGGGGGTGGGACAGAGTCGCCCTTGGGGCTGTCCACACTGGGTCCGAGGCAGGGGGCTCAGAATGCAGCCATGGGGCTGCTGCAGAACCACAGTTGGCAAGGCTGGACTGGACCTGGGTGCCACGAGTGCAGGGGGAACCAGAGGACAAGTAGGGGCAGATTCCCATCCCCCACCCCCACGAGCTTCCAGAGCTGAGCACTTCAGGAGGGATGGGAAGGGGGCTGCTGCTGGCAACTGTCAGAGGAACAGGATGAGGCCAAGTCTCCTCGGGGGTCACAAGTTGCAAGAACATCTGTGACCCTGGCAGCGGGACCTTCTGGAAAACACTGTCAGCCCAGGTAGGGTAGTGAGTAGACAGGAAGAAGGGGTAGGGAGGGGCAGGAGGGGTGGCGGAAGCCACAGGTGCCAGCTGGGATGGAAAGGCCGAAGGGGAGGTGGAGGAGTGTGGTGGGCAGTGATGGTGGTGGAACGGACCTAGGGTCCATGCAGGGCTGGGTGGGGGCTGAGCCCGGCTTCTGATGACGATAGCAGCGTTGGCCAATGAGGCCAGCTTGTGGAAGGTTCAGAGTGACCTGCCCCTCCCCCATGGCCAGACACAGCCATGGGGGCATCTGGAATCTTTGCAACCATACATAAAAGCCAAACACACACTTACAAACCAGATCACTGCAAATGGCCAGCCCAGCTTCACTCTTGCCCTTCCAGAATTTGCATTTCCCCTTGGAATTGCTGTACGTGGTGAGGCTCTTTTCTTGTCACTAAATGTCCTTCAAAAATCTTCCTGATGCCATTTCGTGTGGGTCTGTTAGGATCTGGGTGATCAGCATCTTACTGCAGCTTAGTTTCAGTTCTGTAACTAACATTGCCACATGCAGCGTGTACTTGAGTCTGTGGGCATCTGATGAATTCGGAGTCAAATCCCTGAGTGGATTCACTGACCCCAAATGCTGTGCTCTACTGCCTGTACCAATATCTCACATACCTGCAGTACACAGGGTCTGCATCCCCCAAAGAGCCCTGAGCTTCTAGATTCATCTACAGCCTACAACACGGTGCGAGCGGTATGCATTGGTTAGGACAGGAGTTAGGGAACAGAGTATGCAAACTTTCTGGAGGCCAATTCAGGGGCTGGGCGTAGAACCAAAAGCTGAGGTTCAGCCTTCTGGGCTGGTCGGCCTGGCTGTCCTCCTTCTCAGTGCCATTCCATCTCGGGAACTTTTACTGCCCTGTGGTTAGCACAGTGTCCAGTGCAGAGGTGGTTTAAGTCCCAAGGAGGGGGCTGGTGAAGGCAGGTGCTTTGTCATGGAGGGAAGGGCCAGTGGCTCAGGGCAGTAAGTTTACCCCAGTCGTGGACCTCACATGGATGACCCAGCTTTGGGGAGAGCTGGCAGGAGAGGCGAGGGCTCTTTACTGTAACATGGGGTCTGCTCCTCTGTAGATCAAACATTGGTCATGGGTTTCAGAGAAAAGGGCTTGGGAAATGGTGCCGTCGAGCATCTGCCATGCTGGCAACCCATATGGGTGCTGGATGGAGTCCTGGCTGCTCTGCTTCTTATCCAGCTTCCTGCTAATGTGCATGGGAAGCAATGAAGGAAAACCCAGGTGCTTAGGCTCCCGCACCTACATGGGATACCTGGAAGTGGCTTTGAACTGGTCCAGTTCCAGCTGTTGCAGCCATTTAGGAAGTAAATCAGCAGATGGAAGCTATCTCTCGCCCTCTCTCACCTCTCTCCTGTACTTCTGCTTCTTCCAGGTCTCCCCATGAGTGCAGGGTCCCAAACACTTGGGCCATTTTCTACTATTTTCCCAGGTGCATTAGCAGGGAGCTGGATCAGAAGCAGAGAAGTGGAGACTTGAACTGGTGCCCATGTGAGATGCAGGCAGCAGCTTAACCTGCTATGTTACAATGCTGGCCCCTGTACGGCTGCTTTAAGAGTCACTTGAAGGCATCCAATATGGACTCTGAGGTCGTGAGGTGCCAGTTGTAAACAAGGGCCGGATGCTCCAGCGACAGCCCTTTCTGGGCAGGCTCCCTGCCCCTTCCAGACCTTTCCTTGCCATCACACGGGCCAGTAGCTGCCTCCTGACAGGCCCTGGGACCCCAACACTTTTCCCTGAGGGCAGAAGGTGGAAGAAGAGACCCTCTTACCCTCCAGAACCACCCCTCCACCCGCGCCACGGAGACACAGTATAGAGCCATTCGCTTTCAACAGCAGCGCTTTATTGTACAGTTTTCAATTGGTATATCCTACCACGCAGTTCATGGACTCGAGGCCTGAGGCGTGGACTCACGTGGGGCAGCCGCTCCTGTGGCCGCTGGGGGTGACGGGCCTGCGCAGGGGCTCGGCGCCACCCCACTGTCCGCCGGCTGGCCCCTTCCGCCGCACCTTGCCGGTGTGGGTCATGATCTGGTGGAGGGAGGGAGAGAGAAGAGGGGCTGAGGGACAGACTTGCGGGATCTGGCAGCCAGACAGAGGAATGTACTCCACTGGTCAACCAATCTATGGTGATAAGAGAATCTGCAAACACAGGAGGGCAGCTCCAGGCATCGATCATCCAGGCAGACGGGAATCTGGGGTGGGGGTGGGGGTGGAATGCTTGTGGGTTTACAAGTTGTACCACTCAGCAGTATGAACTAAAAAAAAAAACAAAATCAAGTCATGAGAAAAGGAAGAAAGAGTTGACTACAGTGACCTGTTACATCCCTGGAAAGACCTGGGCTTTTGAAGTTAAGAAGAGAAAGAGCCTATTTTCATCAAAAAACAAAAACAAACAAACAAAAAACCCCCAAAACCAAAAAAAAAAAAAACCCAAAAACCCAAATCCTGGATCATTTCCTTGTCTGGTGTATCGAACACCAGCCATATGACGGGCAGCCACCACCCAGGGAGGAAAAAGCAGCTGCAGCCCATGCAACAGAGGGAGGGAGAGATGTTCATGAGATATGGAACATTTCCACATCAGTTAAGCAGAAAACAAACAGGTAGCTGGGTGAAGAATGCAAACACTCGGGCTGTAAACCAGGACTTCTGATTAACAGAAGGAATACGTAACGCAGCCTTCGCTTCACTGGCGATCAGGAACCAGGGGCTGGTTCTTCAGCCACTCTGAGTGACCAAGAACTGCCCCGTCTACTGCTGGGTGAGACTGCTTACTTTTGAAAGCAAATTAAAAATACATCTCTAAAAAATTAATTTGGGAGGCAGAAATACAAAAAGAAAGGGACAGAGAGCGAGCGAGCGAGTGCCCATCCACCAGTTCGCTCCTCGAAGGTCCATGAACGGCTGGGACTGGTCCAGGGCAGTACTGGGAGCCAGGTGGGCTCTCCGGGTCTCCCGTGTGCGTGGCAGGAGCCGCTGTCACCTGCTGCTTTCCTGGGTCTGTGCTGGCTGGAGGCTGGAGCTGGGTAGTAAACCCAGGCCCTTTGGTGAAGATAACTCTTTTGGAAGGCAATGTGGGCATTTCAAGAGTCATAAAGATGTTCATGGAGTTGGTGCTGTGGCATGTAGGCAGAGCCTCTGCCTGCAGCATTGGCATCCCATATGGGCGCTGGTTCATATCCTGGCTGCTCCACTTCCCATCCAGCTTCCTGCTTATGGCCTGGGAAAGCAATAGAAGATGGTCCAAGGCTTTGGGACCCTGCACCCATGTAGGAGATGTGGAGGAAGCTCTGGGCTCCTGGCTTCAGATCGGTTTAGCTCTGGCCATTGTGGTCATTTGGGGAGTAAACAAGTGGATGGAAGATCTTTCTCTCTCTCTCTGTCTCTCCTACTCTTTCTGTAACTCTGAGTGAAATAAAAATAAAAATTTGGGCCCGGCGTGGTGGCGCAAGTGGTTAAGTCCTCGCCTTGCATGCCCGGGATCCCATATGGGTGCCGGTTCTAATCCCGGCAGCCCCGCTTCCCTTCCAGCTCCCTGCCTGTGGCCCAGGAAAGCAGTCGAGGACGACCCAAAGCTTTGGGACCCTGCACCCGCGTGGGAGACCCGGAAGAGTCTCCTGGCTTCGGATCGGCATAGCATCGGCCGTTGTGCTCACTTGGGGAGTGAATCATCGGACGGAAGATCTTCCTCTCTGTCTCTCCTGTCTGTATATCCGCCTTTCCAATAAAAAATAATAAAAATAAATCTTTAAAAAAAATAAAAATAAAAATTTAAAAAATGTTGACACCCTTGCAAGCAAATCTCAAAGAAGGCAAAATCCAGAAAAGGTTCAACACTCAATATTGTTGCTAACAAAATCATTACAGAGTCAAAGTGGAGCAAAACTCGTCTAGGAACAGACGAACCATGAAGTAAAACGCAGCATACACATTTCAGCAACACGTGGCCACTTACAAATAGGTTATGAAGAGAACTTCCCTGAAAACCTTAACCGTAAATCAGGCGATGACATTATGAACAATGCTTTGAATGATGCTAAATCTTCATTGGGAACCAGAAAGGAAATGAATGCTAAAATGCTTTTGGTGGTTTAACTTGCAGAACTAAGAATAATCCAGCTATTTCCCAAGCTTTCTATAGCATTATTTAATTAAGTTAATCAATCAAGGGGAAAAAAATAACCCCGCTTCCGGAAGGAGTCACAGGGTGGGGCTCCTGGGGCTGGAGCCTGCGGGCTGCCGACAGCCCCGTCTACTGAGTGACCTGCCAAGAGGGACCTTAACCCTAGACAGCTGGCTCCCAGCATCCAGTTCCCTGTGTCACGCTGCCCAGGCCCAGTGCCTGGCGTCTCAGCTTCCTGCCTGCCCTGCTCACTACAGGTGCTGCAAGTCCTCTGTCCATGGCTCCGCAGGGCCACTCCCGCCTCCCCATCCTCCCTGCCCTCCCACTGGACAGGACCCCATGCCTTCTGCAGCACTGAGCTTGGCGCACGGACAAAGGGACCCAGCTGTGCCCTCCCATGCCTTCCTGAGGAACAGTGAACACATCACTTCCATCAAAACCCCTGAGACCCTGGAAAACTGCCAGTTCTGCTTGCCCATGTGCCCCCCATCCCCGAAACCTGGGACCTGGAGACGGGGCCTTTCCCCTCCCCAGTAGATGTGGATGGGGTGGACGGGCCCAGGAGGCTGAGCCCGTCATCTAAAGGCAGACACCGGTGGCTGCCTGCCTCAAGTTGTGAGCAATGCTTCCGGGGGTGTGGACAGACAGGATACCTGGCGGCCACTGCTGCTCATCCAGGGAACGCAGCTTCCAGCTGGGCTCGAAGGAAGGGTCTGCCACCAGGGCACACGGCATGTTTAACTACACACACACACAAACACGCAGATACTGCAGCACATAACTCTGTATACAACTTGTCAATTTAAGCTAAAAAAAAAAAAGGAAGAAACTCTATCTCCCGTTTGAGTTCTGAGAATATGTGAATCACCAAGAAACTGTGACACGCTACGAGGTGGCACGGGTTTGTCTAACAGGGGTACAGTTGACTCATCTGTCCCTCTCTGGACACAGCGGCCATTAGCTGGAGGAGGCAGCAGCCATGGGAGGCTCTGTCCTCCAGCCCCTCTACCCTCTGAGCAGAACTGATTTTGTTGGCACAGCAGTGAGGTGGCTGAAATGCAGTCATCTTCCCAAACCCTGTGGCAGGGTGGGGCTGGGTGACTTGGCTCTGACCCGCCAGGTCATGAGGGAAAGCCAAGGACAGCACTGTAGGGGGTCAGGTCTGCCTACCCACACATTAGGACTTCTTCCTGCTTTCATCACAGATTTGTGCCAGGAGCTGCATCCATCATCATCATCATGTAATCATCTTCTTCAGTTTGAAAGGCAGACAGACATTCTCCATCTACTGGCTTATTTCTCAAATGCCAGCGGTGGCTACGCCTGAGCCAGATCCAAGCCAGGAGCCTGGAGCTCAGTCGGGTTCTCCCACGTGGGTGGCACGGACGCAGGTGTTTGGGCCATCATGTGCTGGCTCCCAGGGTGTGCTTTAACAGAAATGGGAAACACGCCTTGGGACTCGACTGAAGGCACCCCCAAAGGGAATACAGGCACCCCAGCTGGTGCTTCGTCATGGTCACCGTGCCGGATGCTGGCTCCTGCACCTGCCATCTTACAGCTGAGAGTCAAAGCATGGGAGGCACTTGCAGCCTTGCCCAAGGGCTGAGACTGAAGCTGCGGGCCGGGGAGGGCGGCAGCCCATGTATCTGCATGGCCGTATGTTCTGCTGAAGGCTGCAGAGCCTGGTGCTTTTACCTGCAGTCACTTCCTGCTGCTGTGTTCTCCTGGAACTTCCCTTGTGACCCCTTGTCTCGGGTCACTCAGTGCTGCTGTAATGGGGTGCAGTGGCTGATGGCTAGTACCTGCCTGACAGGTTGACACCAGACAGCACAGAAACGGAGTTTCAGCGCTGGCCCTACCCATCTCCTCTTGCACCATTCCAGTTAATTGAAGGCGGGAAACCAGCTTTGGCGGCTAGAGACTCCATGCGGTGCACCTGGTCCCTCCTGCCTCCTACTGGTTAATCAACTACAGAAAAACTTTGGGCTCTTGTAACTCCCTTCCTGCCTCCTGTAGAGGGAAATTTTGTACTGTGTGGCTCTCAGTCTGATTGGAGGATGAGAGCTTAAAAACCCTTGCTTTGGTGGCTTGGTGCAGCGGCTCCCGGAGTGTAGTGGAAGCTGCTGTCACCAAACGTGGCAATAAGGACTCCTAACATCCTACATTTGGGCCCAGTGTGATCTTTCTCGCACTCCACAACACTGCAAGGATACGAGGCAGTGAAGGCACTCCCAGGCTTAGTGGCAAAGTTTTTTTTTTTTAAAGACTTATTTATTTTTATTGGAAAGGTAGATACAGAGAGGAGAGGAGACAGAGAGGATCTTCCATCTGCTGGTTCACTCCCCAAACAGCCTCAACGGCCAGAGCTGAGCCAATCCGAAGCCAGGAGCCTCTTCCAGGTCTCCCACATGGGTGCAGGATCCCAAGGCTTTGGGCCGTCCTCGACTGCTTTCCCAGGACACAGACAGGGAGCTGGATAGGAAGCGGGGCCACTGGGCTAGAACCAGCGCCCATATGGGATCCCGGCACGTTTAAGGCGAGGACCCTAACCACTACGCCATCGCACTGGGCCCAATGGCAAAGTTTAACATGAGTCACTGGTCACACGGCACATAGCCAGAGGATCTGCTGGCTGTGCGGGAGAGAGGATTTCTATCCAGGTCTCCCACATGGGTGGTAAGGATCTTTGCACTGGAAGCATCACCCAGGCCTCCCTGGATGCATTAGCAGGAAGCTGGATTAGAGTGGAGGCACTGGCACCTGAGTTGGCCCTCTAACTTGGGATATACAGCAACTTGCTGCTGGTGACTTGGCAGGCCAGGCCTGTAGCTGTCGTTACAGGTAACTGCAACCCAGACACGATGCTGGGATCCCCTGGTTGTGCCTTGAGGATCTGGCCCTTCAGCACTGGAAAGGAGCTGTGCAACTCAGGGCATCACCTTGGAAGAGCTACGAAACCCAGCTACAAGCCTGGCACACATGGGTGAACAGAGGGAGGTCACCTGGCAGAAGGAAGGTCAACATCCATGGGCTCAGAGTGTGTCACGGGCATAGGTGACACATGGGGCATGACCAGTGCTGCTGCCTTCCACTCTGTCCGCAGCTTCCCCAGCTTTCTGTGGTGTTCAGACTTGTGCTAGCTTTGGTTCAGCTCAGCTCCAGTTGTTGTGGCCACTTGGGGAGTGAACCAGCAGATGGAAGGTCTTTCTCTCTAATTTCCTTCTCTCTTTAAATCTACTTTTTCCAATAAAAATTAATCTTAAAAAAAAAAAGCAGCCATGAGACATGGAGCAGTGGGCAGGGGTCACGGGGCAGACGGGACTGGAGAGCGAGTGTCCCTCTGGGATTCAGACTAGGGGAGGCAAGGTGCATAGTTCAATGGAGAGAGCAGAGCTGGCAGGCCAGGAGGGCGGCTCGGGGAGGGCCAGGAGCTGAGCACACAGCCTGTGCTCACACGGCGGGGCTTGTAAGGGGACGGGGGCAGGGGGTAGGGTCCAGTTTATCTCAGCCATGTCTCCTGCCCCTTCTCCGTCTTCTCTGCGATGGAGGGTTGGAGTTCAGTATCATTCCTCCCAAGGTTTTTGTCCTCGGTGCTAGCAGATGGGGCGCCTCCCAGGCTCCTTGCTGAGGCGTTTCCCCCAGGCTTTCTTCCTGGGAGAGCTGTGCAGGTTTTATAGTCCGATCTTATCAGAGTACCCAGTTTGGGGCTGAGCAGAGGTGAACTTTCCTTGGGGAGCAAGGAGGGCTGGGGCCACCATGAAGTGATCGGGCCTGGGGCCACCTTTGTGGTGTGAAGTCCTGGGCAGCTGCGGGCCTTCCCCTTCGGCAGGGGCTTTCCTGAGGCCCTTGGCACACACAGCTGGATTTCTCACTTCCTAACAGGAGGGGCCAGGGAAGTCTTCCCTTCTGAAGTCAGCTGTGCGGTGGGCATGTACAGCCCCAGGACACTTTGGACTTGACCTCTGCTCTCTAGGACCCCCAGGCAGCACAGGGTCTGCTATTGCAGACGGCACCCCATCGGTGGCTTTGTTCTATTGTAGCCATGGGGACAAACATGTTCACATCCGTGCTCCGTGGGAACTGACATCAAGCACGTGTGCACGTTAAGGAGTCAGAACTATGGATCACGGTGAAACGGCAGGACGCCATCAAGTCAAGGCCACCGACAGACCTCAGGCTTGGTTCGTTGTACCTCAACCACTGGCACTGCCCAGCTCTTGGAGGTGGAGCAGCCCTCACTCCAGCCTCGAGAACAGAACTGCTTGAACACTGTCAACTTCTGGGCCACAATCAAAATGCAGGTGTGGTTAAAAGAAAATCTTGTCCCAAAAGACCTTCAGCCAAGTTAGTGTGCAAGGTGCATATGAAACATATACAAGTGTTTAGACTTGTGTTTAGACTTGGCTTCCGCATACCTCATCAAATCCCAAACTTCTTCCCTGAGTTCTGACTGCAGGTGCTGAGACTGCCCTGGCCTCCCTTCTGGCTCCATCTGAGGGCATCTCAGAGTCCCCACCCTTGACCTAGTCTGTGCCCAGCTTCAGTGTGCCAGGAGCCCCCCTGAACGACCATGGCCGGTGTCCCTGTGTGCTCAGTGGCACATGGGGCTGCAGTGTGCCCCAGCACTCCTCCAGGGTCATGCCCCCTCCCCTCCAGAACCTTACACAGCAGTGCCGCCATTCATACACCAGCAGTCCCTGGCAGCTCGCAGCTGGGGGCCTCGACCCATCCTGTGCAATGCCCCTCTCTGTTCCTGCTAGCCTTGGGGTTTGACAGCATCTTCCCAGGAACCCTGCTTCCTGCCCCAGCTCCTGCCATCCTCTGCTCCCACCCACTTCGGTGGCCACCCCCGTCTGCTCCAGTGGCTTTAGCCACTACCATCTGGCTTCCTCGCCGGCAACCATCTTCCTGCTGGCAGATGAAGGGGCTGAAAGGATGAGATGCCCTATGCCCTCGGGGAGATAGGAAGAGGCCCTGGCACCTGCCTTTCTATCAGCAGCTCTTCTTGGACAGGTCGCTGGAACCACTGAGGGTCAAGGGAGCGACCCCAGACCTTGTCTCAATACGGTATGGGGGCTGTCCTCATGCTATGTGCCACATGAGTCCCTTGTTACAGGAGGTCTCCCGTGCCCACCTGCTGGTCCCCATGGCAGCATAACCCAGCCCATGGCACCTACCCCCAAGTACTCTGTGGTCAGCAGCTTCTCGCCTGAGAGTTCTCCAAGCTGGGGCTGGATCAGCTCGTCCTTGTCCAGGTCAGCTTCCATGGTGTCATGGTCCTCCTGTTGCGAAGGACACAGGAATGAAGGGCCTGGCCTACCCACCACCAGCCCTGGGCGGCTCTCCCCAGAGTGGCCACACGTCCTGGGGCCCGGCAGTCTGCCCAGCTCACCCTGGCAGGGCCAGCCGAGTCTCAGGAAGTCGGCTCTCCTGTGCCATCCCCATGAGGTGGCCAGATCCGAGAAGATGCCTGAAGATCCCTCTCGACCATGCTTGTCCAGCTGCTTCCTCTGGGGTCCAGGGACCATGTGGCTGGTCAAGCCTCCTAGTCAGCTGATAACTGTTTCATGCCTTCTCCACCTAGTCCTGGGGAATCCCTCACTGCCTGCGACACGCAGTGGCCCTTCCTGTCCCTGCTTCCCCTTCCCCCAGGTAGATGCCCACTGGATGGGCTGCCACTCATGAAACAAGCCTGAGGTGTTTCTAAGCACTGACGCAAGGTGGGTGGGCCAGGGGCCCCGGGGCCCAAGGAGCGGCAGGTGCTAACTTCCCAGACTCTCCACCCACTCTTACGCCTGGAGCTGAAGGAACTGGGCAAGTCAGTGGTGCATAGGAAGTTGCTCCCCTCCTCGGCTTGTCCCTCAAAGCTGGTGCTCCTGGCCAAAGAACCAGGGAAGGGGGAGCCCAGCACCATGGAAGAATTTTAGAAAAATCATCCACCTCCACAGAAGACACTGTGTCCCCACGCAGGAGCATGTCAGCCAGGGCCCGGGGAGCCTAACGCCCCCAGCTGGAAACCACAGAAGAGGCCAAGCAAGAAGCACTCACACGAAACCCCCATCCTCCCACTCACCTTCCCCCTGTTGGAGAGGTCACAGGAGGCCCACAGCTCACGGCCCGGAATTCCCTCTCCTGCCCTACAGCCACATGGACCTTCCCTGTTACCCTGGCCAGTCTGGTCTCAACGCTGCCCAGCCTGGGGCCGGATGTTTGCCCGCACCTGGCAGCAGTGAGAACGGATGAGATAGCTGAGACAGAAGGTTTGACAAGATAGAATCTCCTAATACCCCCAAATGTCCAGGCCTCAACAGAAATCAGTCATGACAAGAACCAGGGAGAGGTGAGACGGACAGTGAGAGACAGCCAACAGGTGCCAACGCCCACGCGAGAGAGATCGCACAGTGACCCGACGCAGGTGTTACGGCAGTCATCACAAAGCAATGCTTTGACAGCAACTGAAAAAACACAGGGTGTCGAAAGCACAGAGAAAAGAGGCAAACTGATCCCAAAGCAAACACAGAAATAATAAGGAGGAAAGCATAGTGAATGGGAAGGAAAACAACGGGGACGAGTGACTAAACAATACCCGGTTCTCTGTAACCGGAGGACTGAGACGGGCAGGGCCTCGGACAAAACCACAAAGAGAAGCTGCAAGTGACCAACCAGGCTTGGAACCGAGACAGGAGGCACTCCTACAGACCCCGCGGACAGCCCACAACTCGCAGGAAGAACTCCAGTCGCCACGGGCCTCTCCACGGGAAATCAAGCGGACACTCACTCCATCGTTCAAACACTCGCGTGAAGGACATGCCCAGGCCCACGGTTTCCCAGGAGAACTCCATCAAACTTTAACAAAAAGAAAATTAAACAAACGTCCAAAGTTGTTTTTTTTTTTTTTAAGATTTATTTTATTTTTATCGCAAAGTTAGATATACAGAGAGGAGGAAAGACAAAGAAGATCTTCATTCCGATGATTCACTCCCCAGGTAACTGTAATAGCCAGTACTGCTCCAATCTGAAGTCAGGAGCCAGGAACTTCCAGGTCTCCTGCACAGGTGCAGGGTCCCAAGGCTTTGGGCTGTCTTTGACTGCTTTCTGAGGCCACAAGCAGGGAGCTGGATGGGAAGTGGAGCTGCCGGGATTAGAACCGGTGCCCACATGGGATTCCAGTGCGTGCAAGGCGAGGACTTTAGCCACTAGACCACCGCGCCAGGCCCCAAATGTTCAAAGTTTAAAGAGGTTTACTTAATGACATGAGGAGAGTCCTCACCTGCTGGGCTGCTTCCCCGCAGATGCCCACACCATCCTTGGGCTGGGCCTGAGGTTGGAGCCAGGAGCTCCACCCGAGTCTCCCTACTAGGGGCAGGGGCCCACGTGCTGTCTCCGAGGCTCCTGTGTCAGTAGGGAGCTAGAGTCAAGGGCCGGCTGTGGCTGTTGGATCCTGGCCCGTGCACGTGGGATGCAGCAGCTTTACCCACTAGGCAAATGCTCACCATTTCCACCTGCCACTCAAACTTTTCAAGAAGTACATCAATCCAGAAAAGCAAAAAGGAAGGTTTCTGATTTGCTTTAGGACGCTGGCAGCACCCTGGTGCCAAAACCAGATGATGGTTCCAGAAAAACAAGAATTCGAAACATTCCTCAGGAACGTGGTGCCAGAGGCCTTAACGAACACAGCGATAAAGTAACAGAATTACAAGTCCCGAGGAAGCAGGACTTGCTTCAGTGAGATGTGACAGGCGCCAAATTCAAGTGCTGCTGCATTGGGTTTTTTTCCAACCCCCTTTTCCTATAAAATTGTGCAGGTTCTGAAGACCTCTGAGATTAGCAGCTTTCTGGAAAACTTGGCCGATTCTCAGCGCAGACCTAGGTCCATGTCGTCTGGGGTGCACTAAGAGGGCCCCTCAAGTTACACCACACAGGAGAGCGTGGTGAGGCCGACGCACCCACACCGCTCTGCAGGTCAACAAGGTGACCTCTGCTGACTTACTTCCACAGGGCGCATGGCTGGATCAGAGAGGGCTGTTGCTCATCGTGGTCCAGCAGCAGGAGCAGAGGACCGCTTAAAGACACAGCACAGCACTGGCTGCGGGTCGGTGGTCTGGGCACAAATGTGCTGCCAGCTGCAATGCAACAAAACCGCAGAGCTTGGGCCCCTGCACCCCCACGGGAGACCCCAAGGGAGCTGGGGTGTGAACCAGTAGATGAAAGATCTATTAACCTCTCCCCATCTCTCTTTCTGTAACTCTGTCTTTTAAATAAATAAATCAATACATTTTTTTAAAAATGAAGCTTATGAGAAAAAATAACATCAATACATCAATGTATAAAAAAGAAAGCATTTGGCAAAATGTAACACGTGTGGTGAGGAACTTTGTCAGTTTGACAGGAGTAGAGGGCTGCTTGATAGAGATCACCCACAAAAGCCGGACAGGTGGCACCCGACTCGAGGGACAGGCTGCCCACCGGGCACCAGATTAGGTTAAGGCAAGGATCTCCACTCCTGCTGCTCTGCGGAGGGACACACACACACACACACACACACACTCTCTCTCTCTCTCTCCTATCTATATACTCACTACTCACATATGGTACTGTGTACCCACAACAGCCAGGGCTGGGCCAGGCCAGGCCTGAAGTCCAGAGCTCCGCTCAAGCCCCTCATGGCTGTCCGGGACACAAGCACTGGGCTATCACCTGCTGCCTCCGGGGCACACACTGGCAGCAAGGCGCAGCGCCACGACCTGAGCCCAGGACCTTCCTCTGCCATGGGACGTAGTTGTGCCATGTGGGGCCTTAACCACGGTGCTGTGCATACAGGCCTGCCCTGAGCATGCGCTGTCAGCATAGGGGCGGAAGCGCTAATCCCATCAATGGGCAAAGAAGGAAACGCAAGGTACACAGACTAGGGAAGAAGAAACAGAATTGTCCTCATTTGTAATATATGATTGTCTATGTAAAAATCTCAAGGAATTAAAAAAAAAGTCAACCAAACTTTCTTAATCACTACTGAATGAGCTCAACAAGGCCAAAGGATAGAAGACAAACATGAAGATCAACTTCCACATCCCAGCAATGAACAGGTGCACTTGAAATTGAAAATTTCAAAAAAAAATTTAAAAAGAAAAATAGAAAAACCAAACAAACAAAAAAAGAAAGTATAACTGCCCAAAAAAGGGAAAGAAATACTTGGGTATAAATTTAACAAAATACATACAAGATCTGTATGCTGAGAAACGTTAAAATGTAAATCAACGGAGTATCATATCTTGTTCACAGACCGGAAGATCTAAGATGCAGGCCTCCCTCAGCTGATATGTGGATTTAATGCAATACCTATCAAAATCCCAGCACGGTTGTTTTGAAGCCATAAAGGATTGTTCTAAAATGTCTATAGGAACAACGTGGGAGGAGTCAGTCTACCTGATTTCAAGACTTACTATGCAACTGCAGTAACTTGGATTGCCATGCTACTGGCTGAGGAGCAGAAATAGGTCAGTGGAACAGAATAAAGAACTCTGGGGACTGGTGTGGTGGTGTAACAGGCTAATCCTCTGCCTGCAGAACTGGCATCCCACTGGTTCGAGTCTCGGGTGCTCCATTTCTTTTCTTCTTCTTTTTTAAAAAGATTTATTTCTTTTTTTTTTTGTATTGGAAAGGCAGATACACAGAGAGGAGGAGAGACAGAAAGATCTTCAGTCTGCTGGTTCCCTCCCCAAGCAGCTGCAATGCCTGGAGTTGAGCAGATCCAAAGCCAGGAGCCTCTTCCAGGTCTGCCACGCGGGTGCAGACTCCCAAGGCTTTGGGCCGTCCTCAACTGCTTTCCCAGGCCACAGGCAGGGAGCTGGATGGTAAGCAGGGCTGCTGGGATTAGAACCGGCACCCATATGGCATCTTGGAGCATTCAAGGCTAGGACTTTAGCCACTAGGCTACCATGCTGGACCCCAAGACTACTCAGTTTCAACAGAAGAAAATTTTTAGGACCCATGGCCAGGCAAAAAATTCTTTCGTTTCCTATAGATTTGTTCATTTACCTGAAAGGAAAGAGTGACATAGAGAAGGAGAGAACGATCCATCTTCCATCTTCTGGGCTACTCCCCACATGGCTGCCAAAGTGGGGGTTGGGCCAAGCCCAAGTTAAGAGCCTGGACCTCCATGAGGGTCTCCTATGTACATGGGCCATCTGCTGCTGCTTTCCCAGGTGTGTGAGCAGGGAGCAGGACTGGAGCTGGAGCACACCAGCCCTCGTGTGGGATGCCAGCATTACAAGTGGCAGCCTGA